ATTTCTGCATCGATGTTACGCTTATATGATGCATTGATATTTATCGATGTCTTGTCTTCGGTATTTTCTTTTTACACTAGTCCCAAGGCGGTGACAAGTCACCTGAATTATGTTTATATTTAAATGTGCCATCAGATGGTCGTTAAAATAACAAGCCATTAATACTGAAACCGTGAATAAGTCACTTTTGATCTACCTTTTTTGTTATCCATGGATTTTCTTGAATTTTATGATATTTAATTGTTTAATTGTTTTACGACAAATATGTAATGAAAATTCAAAGAAATGACAAAGAAAAGATTATACAAGTGGATATACAAAAAGTTACCCAGCTGCGGTTTTAATGTTAAAGATGTAGAAAGAAGAAAAAGAGGAGGAAATCCTACTTTATATAAAATAATGTCACAATTTATATCTGCGATAGTAACGTCTGTGTCGTCAGGAAGATTATTTTCCAAAACAGAATTAATATTAACGCAACAAACAAACCACTTAAAAAGAGTGAAAACCTCGCTATGACAAATATTGTTTTTGTAGCATATAAATACAAGTTTACGAGAATTGTAATCCATATTTATATTTGCTTATTAAATAAATAGAATGTATTATGATAAAATAGAAAAATGTATCACTATTCAATTGTGATGTATCACTATTCAATATTCAAAAGATTTATTAATAATACATTGACTAATAGATTGAATGTTTTTACTATACACATGCATAAAAATTACGTGTATTATAAAAGAATATAATTTTTGATGAAAGCACCTGTGTCGACAAGATATCGATATTACCGAATCGATATTCATCGATGATCGATGTTAACCCATTTCGGGCCGGGCTACAAAAATATTGAAATCCATGAAATCAAAGTACTATTTCAGGATAATTAAAACCTAAGTAACTCAACCTAAAATTTTCCGACTAGCCGCGTTTCCTCGGGAAATAGTCGGAGTCTTCTTGAGTGACACCTGACGTACACTTAGCGAACCATATCATAACGGGAATCGTCATTATTGACGATTTCAATTTTTGGCATCAAAATACTTTATCGTTTTTTCAATTTTTTTATTTTTTACTTTTTTTTTTAATTAATTAATAAAAAGGGAGAGACAACGAATTAAAAAGGTATGTTTTGCAAGGTTATTTCCCACTCTCACTCACCGCCGGGGAAATGACGGGTGGTGGCGAGGTGAGTTTATTTTCTGAAAGGCAAAAGTCCGAGCTATATTTCAGTAATGAGATTTAGACCAGGATCTACCTTTATCATAGATAAAAAAATTGTTGACGATAGATAAATTTGTTGTTCCTGTGTAGGGACAGAGGAACGAAACGGGTTAAGTTTCGACCGCGATTTCGATGTCAAGTATCGATGTCCTTCCTACCCGATGCGGAACCCTAATAAGAACGAGAACCGGATGCGATGCTATCGTTCGATCTTATGCCCCGAATGCACCGAGATAAATAAAAGTTTGTCCCCTACGGCTTATTCACGATGTCAATTAACATTCCATGAGCAGTGGGGCTGGAGATTCTTCATGGTGCTCCTCGAACTTTATGAAATATTTGCGGAACACGTTGCGTCGGATGCAATGTACGCGCACGCATACACACACGCACACAGACACATGCGCACGCGGTATTGGGAGAAACGACGAAATCTGTAGTTGAAATCTCGGCTCGTAAAGCCGATTATCTGGCTACTTCGCGTTTCCTTTCGCGGGGAACAGCGTCACGTCACGAGATTAAGCGGGAGGATATCAAGAGATAGGATCAAACTTGTATCGCGGTGCGGTCTAAGCCGCGAATTAGGATTTGCATACGAGAAACGCACGTGCTGCCCTTGCCGGAGACGTTAACTCTTCTGCGATCGCACGAACGCGAGAGATCGGTTAATACGTTAAGGAGTTTTCCAGCGCGAAATAGAGTAGGCGAGAAAGAGGGTGAGTCGAGCGTAAACGGTTATCCGTCCCGGATAAAATTAGTCTCAGGATTCGGGACGCTTAATACAATATCTGACCGCGGTGTACGCGTGTGTTTGTGTGTGTGTGTGTGTGTGTGTGTGTTTTACATATAAATTTAACATTCGACCGTTTCGTATTCGGGGAATTGCGGCCAATCAATTTGCGACTTCTTCTCGTGCAAAAATAAGCATCCCCTCACTACTCCCCCCCTCCTTCCGCGAAAGTTGGGGCGCAAGAAGGCTGCATTTTCATATCTGCCGGCGATATTCTCTTACGAGAAGCGGCGAGGCATTAATAATTAAATAACACGTATCTTTTTGAATGCAAATTCTCGGCCGATTCCATTGTACGGAGGATAGCAGGAACCCTGGAATATCCGTGTCCTCCTCCCCCCTTCCGGAGACCCGCCTCGGTTCTAAACCCGGTGTTACACCTATTGTGCGACCGTTGAATCGGTCCGGAAAAAATGCCCGTAACGAATTTCCGGCGGGTCGAGGTGGTTTTGTCAGGAGAGCGCACGCGAAACCGGCCCGGTCGCCTCGGACGGAAATATCGAAAATCGAATGATGATATTGAATCATTCCGCGAACGGATTCGCTTATTGGCGCGCGCTGTGTCAGCGGAAGAGACTTTAAATGGCATTTCTGGCTGGCCGTGCAGAGCTCGCTCGCGTATCGCGGAGGCGCGATCGCGTGTCTCGCAATAAAAGATAATCGACGTTTTCCTCCGCGTAATTTCATTTCCTCCTGGTTGATTCTGAATCGAATTGATGCGCGAGCCGCTGATTTCCTTATCAGGTCCCGGTGGATTCCCCGAGCCAATGAGGTGTTCCCGACTGGAAAATTAAGTTGTTGCTTCTCACCTGCCGTCTAATACACGCGTATACACAAGAGACCAGCATAGAAATTTTCCCAGATTTCCTCCCGTATACAGCGCGTATATATTCCGATTAGAATACCCACAGTGGAATTTCCAAAATAGGTTATCCCGCCGCGATATCAATTGGGAATTCCATTTTCATCCCGTTATCATTTCATTCTCATCCCAAACATGGGGCGAAACCTCTTTTCCACGATGCTGATTGGCTGTGCTCTACGTGCGACCTGTCATCGAGTAACAGTTTGATCGAATGTCAGATTAGGGGATTGATAAACGGGGTTACATTTTTAATTCATCTCGGGCTGCAGAAATATTGAAACCCGTGAAATCCAAGTACTGTTTAGCATAATTAATTTTAGTTAGAATAAATATTTTTGACGTTTTGTAGGAATATATTTATTTATATTTTAATTATATATATACAGCAATTTCTACATATTATTATATTTAATATTAACAAAGTTATATATAATTTTGTGCAGCATTGAACGAAAGTTTTGCTTGCATGGTTATCATGATTCTGGACATTGTAGGTTTCTGAAGCCAAAAAATTACGGAAAAATGATTAAATTATAAATTTACAGCTATTGTTTCTACCATGATGGAGAAAGAAAATCAGTTTTTTACAAAATAACATAAAAAGAGAATAATCGAATTTTGGGCTAATTCTTTTTCAGCTTTGGGAGCCCATAAAAGTTGAAATATTAAAAATATTGACTTTATCGTGATAAAGACGATAGTCGCAAGTTTATAACTTAATAATTTCTCGCCAGTTCGTCTTCAGAAAATTGCAATATTCGGGATCATATTTATGATGGGTTTATTTTAATGCTATTATCAAGAAAATCTATTCTTCGTTCAAGATAACCATTACTTGAAAAAGAAGGAAGAAAAATAAACTGGGGTAATCGCTTTTCTCTGTATTAAAATTAACATTTTTCCTTGCGTAGAATCCATCATAATTTGGGAAATCGGATTGGGTTCCAAATAAATCTTAAGAAATGTTCTACACGGAAACTCGTGGCACGTCCCCGATGTTTTCGCGTGTCATTGGCTACCCGGTTCTCTTAATTGCGCGCAAGGACGGCACTTGTGGATTTTTTGCGACGCGCGGAAGCTATCACGACGCAAATTGTTAGTTTTTGCTCAGGTGGCGCACACTGCTAAGAAATCCACATGGAATTATTGCGATCGAGCGGCGGCGGCAAGAAGCGAGCGAAATGGGCTTTGTGTGTTACTCCACGTGTNGGGGGGGGGGGGGGGGGGGGGGGTGTAGTTACAGAGATGCGTCTTGCGCGGTCTCTAAAAGCTCGCTGCCAAAAGAGGTTTTGCTCGGCCCGCTGTGCTCGCGGGGGGGGTTGCGCTTGTGCGGTTTCGGTAATGTACAGTCGCCCGTAAGTATTCCGCCCGAGGGCAGATAAGATCGACTACCCTGGCCGATGACGTGGTCGATCTTAACTGCATGCTATTTCGAGATTTTCGCCATTCGGTCAGAAAATATCCCGCGAAATCTTCGGGCCGGGCGGCGAAACGAAACGCTAAAGTCACGCAGCCCTCTTCGCCAGCCGCGACCTCGAAGATAATAAAGCTCAGATATTGCATCCTGAATCACGAAGAGCCGCCCGAATCGATATTCCACGTTAATCGCCCGTCGCTTTCGGGGTTTCATTGCGAATCTGACAGCCGGTGCTTAAGTGTAATTTCGATAAATTAGGGGGGTCGAGGGTGTATGTAGGGCGAGCTTCGATACGAGAAAGGTCAGACCGACGACGTGTCGGCAACGTCGGCAGATATCGAAAAATCGTTCGAAAGAAGGTAATCTCTTTTTCTCTCCCCTTCCCCTTTCGTTCAGAATGCAGCGTCTTAATTGGCCGCCGATGTCCATTCGACGACGCGAAGATCTCGGATACTCCGCCGAGGGCAGATAATTCGCTGCGGCGCGAATCGACGGGAGATTCCTTCTGCGATATTAAATTACGTTCGTTCCACTGATTGGTTCTCTTACTTCCCGAACGTTCTTTCCCTCTCTCTCTCCCTCTCTCATTTTCCACTTTACCGCGTAAAGTTGCCCGTAACGCACTCCCCGCGGGAATCTCGCGTGAAATTCCTCGAGGATTCACGGAGGAGATTAACGCTCGACGCGCTTGCTCGCAGGGGTCACAGGTGATGGCACGTTTTACGCGCCCTCGACGAAGAATGGCGAACACGACTGACTCAGCCGCAACGACCGGCGACAGCCTTCTCTCGTCCTCGACGACGGCACCGTTCACCACCCCGTCGACATCGGCGAGCTACTCGAGCGAGGGTTACACCTTCAACTACAGCGGTCTGCCCAGCCTCGGCGGCTATTCGCTGGACGACCTCAACTACACAGAACTGTGGGTCGACGTTTGGAACGGCACCGAGGTCAACAACGTCACCGAGAGACTGAACACGACGGTTCTGAGACCGGACAGCTACTGCGACGAGTGGGAGGCCGCACAGCACAAACTCTTCCAGGTGAACCTTCATCCTTGAGCCCTTCGCGTTCCATCGAGGATTCTATTCGTCCTCTCTCATCATCAGCTGAATTGGAATTAGCGCGGAAATGAATTCCCTCCGACTGCGACGATGACTTTATTGCTCGTCGGACACGGGACATGTTAACTTTGCACAGTATATTAGAAAATATCAAGCTCCGTATTCCACTGAGAAGTTAACGAAAATATCAGGCGATCTCTGATAATTCCCCGGGGAAAGTTTGAATTCTACACAGAACTACGTGGATCCGTGCTTCGCTCTAGATGGCCTAATATTCGTCAGTTTCTTTTCTCTTGTCTCGACACACTCGTCGGGTTGACGATCTAACCTCATCGGCCGCGCTCGTACAGTCTGTCTAATAAGAGCGTGACCGATGTAACTTTTAAACTATTCATTACACAAAAATGAAAACAATTATATATGTAGTACATAATCAGTATCATGGCGCTCTTGTACCGATAAGTCATTCAATCACCGACGTTGTCGATTATTGTCTGACTCATCTTCCAAGCATACTTTCCAATTTTTTGCACAGTATGTCGTATAACACCCTGTATACGAATCCCCGGATTTTCCAATTGAGTCAAGTACGAAAGTACCCGTGAGATCCCTCGAGCTACGGTGGTCGAGGATTCGGTCGCGAGGATCGGGCGTCCCCGACGCGAGATCTCGACGTTCTCCGATCATGATGACCGGTAGATTCATTCGTCGCGTTGTTAATTTCAGGCGGCGAATATATTTTTTGCGTTTGCATTTCTGGTGCCGCGCTGGTTCAAGATTTCCATCTTGGCTCTCCGCACATGTCTCACGGTGGGCTTCATGCTGGCGGCCCTCTGGGCCGGGATCACTATATGCGCCCTGGACGCCATGCTGTGGTGCTTAGCCCTCGGTCTGCTTAACGGTATACACTCGCTGATACTCGCCTGCCGATTCTTGCCGCCTGCCCTCAGCCCTGAGCTAGCCGAGCTGTACATGAAGCTCTTTAAGCCGTACAAGGTCAGCAAGAAGCACTTCCAGGAGCTGGCGAAGGAGGCGAGGATATACAAGCTGGATCCCGGACAGACTTACGCGACAGAGGGAGTCACCTCGGCGGACGAGAGGTTGTCTATCCTTTTACGTGGGAGGTGAGTACACTCTGTCCCTTTTTAATTAGAACTTCTTTCCGAAACAAGGGCATTCCCTTCCCACGGAGGAAAGCCGATCTCCTTCTAATTGAAACCGGATTAATGCGAACGGCTAAAATCCCCCCGTCTTATTCTTTATCGCTCTCATCGGAATGAAATTAATATCGGGAAGTGCGCGATCCTGGAAATCCTCTCGTCTCGACACACCCGTCGGGTTGGCGATCTTATCGGCTGCGCTCGTAGTTGCGCCGTTATCGTTCTCACACGAGAGTTCCTCTTCTGTTCGGCATCCTCCCTTTGTCAAGGCGTAGGCGAGTGGTCGCGCAGCGCAGTTTCAGTACTGAGTCCTCCTCTCGATTCCAGACTGAAGGTAACTTGCGACGGGACCCACTTGCACTATATCAGAGCTTACCAATTCGTCGACTCACCCGAATGGGAGGCCATGCACGAAAACATCGACGACGTCTTCCAGGTGACGATACGGGCCGAGGAGTACAGCACGTACATCTGTTGGACGAGGCTCAAGTTGCAAAGGGTGCTTCGGCACAGGCCCCTACTCAAGGTCCTCCTCAACACTCTCATCGGTAAGGACATTACGTCCAAGTTGTACGCCCTTAACGAGCAGCTCGCTGGTGTCGCGACCGCCAGTGAGAACGCCACGTCGAATCCTTACAGGGGAGTCTCGAGGAGCCTCAGCGTCGACGCCGTTAACACCGAAGTCGCCGGAAGGGTTCGATCGGCGACCTGGAAGACGCAGAGGCGACACAGTAATCCGCGCAACGACAGTAAGTTCGAGCCTCCTTCTCTCCCCACGCGGTATCGAGAGGACCTTCGAGGATACGCGATGTAGTCTCCCAGCGTGGAAAATTTCTCGCGATCTAATTGAGATCCTGAATTCCGATTCCCCGAAATAATTGTGAATTCTAGTTGGGAAATCTACGCGGGTTCCGGTTGGAAGCACGGTGTTTCGAACACACGATTCTGAACGGGAAACGCAAACAAGTCCTATTTGCGTCACTCTTAACGCTTTTCCAGAACGAAATACGAAACACTTTGAGTAATTTACACTTCACACGTGCACACACATGCGCGCGCGCTACGTTTACGCGTATTACGCGCTATTAAGCATAGAACATTAAAAATATAACTTCGTTCATTAAACGCCCCATCTCGCCATGTTCGGTCCGGTAGACCGCTGAACGACTTTCTAGTTTTTCTTTGAACTTTGTGGGACAAATCACAAGGTATAATATGTTACATCCGGGAAAATCATGAACAATTTCCACGCCGGTTGATTCCCTTCTGTACTTTCGTACAGATATTTTCTCCTCGACGGAAACTCGACGGGAAATTCGGTCAATTGCTTGCTTCACCGTAACATTTCACACATTTCGCCGTCATACGCTCGTAAGATTCGCCGTCTTCTCGCGTGCCCTCAAAGGTCTCCGATACAAATCTACTTACGTAACCAGCCGTTCAAAAGACAACCGAGCGCACGACGAGAGCTAGACGTTAGAGACCTTTAAAGGCTAACCCGAGTCGTATACAGGACGGTCGCAATTCCTCTGTCCCCAGAGATTATCCCGCCCCGGTACTCGAATCAGTACTGGGCGCCGGTGGTGGCGAACCACTTCCCGCCGACCTCGCCGTTCATCCAGAGCCGGGACCTCGGCTACTCGTTACTGCCGCAGGGTGTCCAGTTCTCGCCACCTCCACGAGCACCCTTACTGTCCCACTCTTCGTTGGCGCGGCAACGAAGCGGGGGTGCTGGTGGCGACTACACCCTGCTACCTCAGACACCGAAGCTCGAGAGGAAGCGATCGAAAAAAGCGGCCCGAGAGGTGGGTTTATCTTGTTTTCGATACAAGGTCGCAAGTTCGATCGGTTTATCATTGGATCGTGCGATAGAATCTCCGCGGACTGCGCGGGAAGAATGTATTTGACACGTTCGCACACGTGTAACGCGTCAATTTCTCACGGTGAGAGAAATTTTGGTTATTTTCCGCCGCGATTCTGCACAGCCGACTCCATTTAATGCCATCTCATTTCTTAGGCACGTTGAACCAATTAGATGCGTTACTTTTATGCGCATCGTAACTGCTGCTGCTTCGGAGAATCATCGTTGCCGATTAGTCAAATTGTCAATAGTCATGATGTGCAAATAATGCTTCTGGATATTGTTTGTGTAACTTTGTCCCACGGGCGAAAACGTGGAAAGTGAAATGTTGTCAAATGAGAAAATGTACACTTTCCGCGAGTTCACACTAAAGGAGAAGATTTATGACCCTCCAGGGATTGATCATAAATCTTCTCATCTGATGTGAATTCGTGAAAAGTGTACATTTTCTCATTTGACAACACTTCACTTTTCACGCTTTCGTCCCGGATGAAAAATCGATACTTTAATTAGAAATGTTCGATGTTATGCCTATACGGGATGGGACAGCATATGTTTGACAACGATAACTTCTCATTCTACGTTCGCATAAACAAACCAGATCTGTCGTGTTATAAAAAAAATACAGGGCGATCTCTGCGGAGACGGTTTCTCGAAAATACGTTGGCGAACATGTTAAGACAAGCGAGAAATTCAAGCGCGAAATTTACAAAGTAAATCGCGAAAACGCGTAGAGACGAAGAGGACGGAGTCTTCGTGAAATTTTCTCACTTTTCTTCCTCGGTGAGAATTTAATGAAGCGACGCAACTTTTACCTTCGATATCTCCAACGTTTCGATAACCTGCTACCTCTATATGCATCGCGTCGTGTCAAAAGATTATTTAAACGAACACCGCGCATGTTGATACACGGTACCGTGCTCTGAAGGGAGAGGGAGAGAGAATATCTTTGCCGTCCGTGTCATTAACGACCCCTCTTCAAACAATCGAAATGCACACTGTGCTATTACAAGTAGGTCGGAGTCGTCCCGATAGTCGTCCGAGCGCACTTCATTTGTCGGCGTGTACGTGTATCAAGAGGGGCCATGTTTGCCCCGACTTACCCTTAACGAGCGTGCTGGAATTGTCCGGTGCGATTAAATGCGCCGTTGCCATTTCTAGAGGGCCATAATTACAGTTTCCGCTTGTCAATCTTGACATTTTAATTAAATTTATGTGTTTGGCCTCGTTTCCCGAGAGTTTACCGAGGCTCGATTTCAAGATAAATACGGGGCAACGAAATCGCCGCTCTCGCACTCGAGGACCGCATTCTTCGCTTCCTCTTCCTCACCGGATCAGAGGAACTCTATTAGTTTCCTTCCTTTTAACACTGTTCGATATGCGAGTTTGTCGATTCGCGAAATCCTCGTTTCAGGTCACTTTTGAGACTCCGGTATGACGTTCGCTCGACGGGGAAGGCCCTGCCAGCGTGCCTCTACTCTCACTGTCGCCGCAGCGCTCCGCCTAGCCCCGTCGTCGTCTCGTCACCTTGATGCACGCGGCGAAACTCACCCTCTGAACTTCGACGAAAGATCGACGGCGATATCAACGAATGGCCTACTCCGTCGAACAATCGAAAGGAAGCAACGGGGAGGGAAGGGGACGGAGGGAGGAGGAAACGTCTCTTTCTCTCTCTCTCTCTTTCTCTCCTCGGTAGCACGATAAACGCGGGAGGAAAACGCCGGAGAGAAGCGAGAAGTCGTCGCAGGGTGCAGTTTCGAACGTGTGCGATTGATTTTTCATATCCTGCAAGTGCCACGCCTTACACAGACACGCACGCACGTCGTGAAATCGAACGCGCAATGGCGATCGTGAGAAATTGATCCCGACGTCCATCGACGAGCCGTGGGGGCATCCGTTTCGGAGTTTCGGACCGAAAAGAAATAGGGGAGCCGGGTTTCTTCGGACCGAACGAAACGTTCGTGACTCAACAGTGAGAAGTGGAAATAACGAGCGGACAATGCCAGGACGGGAGATTGTGAACGAAAGAGACTAAATATAAATATATTGTATACTATTGGCGGGAGAAAGTGAGAGAGCAAGAGCGAGAGAAAGTGTGTGAGAGAGCGAGATTGAGTAATGAAGAGAGAGAGAGAGAGAGAGGAAGAGCGTCGCCTCTGTGTACACCTTTACATCGACTGTGATTATAACGGATATATTTGTTAAGTCTTTCAGAGAAACGCTAATTATATACATTATACCGAGAGACACATGCGTAATTAGCCACCGCGGTAATCACACTCATATCCTACGCTCGCGTGAGTTGAGGTGTCCTCCGTATAGTATTTCTTTTCTCTCTATTCTCGTTTCCCGACGATCCGGCGTATCTCGCGGATTCCCGGTTCAATTCTTTCACCACAGCCTCTGTCTCGGCCAATTTGCAATTGAATTGGATTTTTCATTTATCTCTTTAACACTTTGCGGTCTGCACGCCCCGTTGGTAAAAGTATGAATTTTGCGGTAATAAAAGCCAAATTATTGTAATTTCAATGGATCCTTTTAATGTACTGGTGTTTATTTACAACCGAAAAAGCGACAACTTTGAATGGAAGCTCCATGCGAAGTTGTGTTATCTGGCTCCAGTAAATTGTGAGCTTAAAATTCATATTTAGTCGTACATTCTCAGTTGTAAATAAACACCAGTTCATTATCAATGAACATAATACATTTCAACTTCTGTGTTCGTTTTTATTTGTTTCGGACAAAGATAGAGCAGTTTTTTCTTACCTTAGAAAAAGTCAAACATCGTCATATTGATTAATTAATTTACATAAATGACAGCCGTCCGATACAAAATCGCGCTTACAGTTTTTCAGTAACGTGCTAATAATTGAACGTAAAAAATTTTGTATATCCTCTGAAGATATAATAATATAATAATACAATAATTTAATAATTTCACATCGTCCGATTCTTTATCGGATATTATTCTATTATTTAATATTTCTACACTTCCATTCATTATTGTTCCGCACGATCATTAACGAAGGACATCTGAACAGCGCGTACTGGCCGGGATCGTCGCATAAAATTAGTACATAAAATGTGCATTCACGATATAAATGTGATACGTCGAGAACACGCAACAGTTTGTATCCGAAACCGGCAGACGGGGAAAATAACATTGCATTTGCACTCCCTTAATCAAATAGAGAACACGTTAAACGAATAAACGGGAATGAAACGAGGATGAAAACGGAAGACAAACCGAATAATTCAGACGTAAACAATAAGTGCTTCGTTAAAAAGAAAAAAAAACATAAATCTGCAATAAAGTGCTTCGAGGAAAAGTAGTTAATCGCGAGACACCAATTAAAGGAAAAAAAAAGCAAAGTTTAATTATTCACGCAAATTAAAAGGAAAAAAATTAACATGCGTCGCGCGTAAAATAGTTAACGTAGAAGAAAAAAAAATATGTGTGTTTGTATGTTTCTATGTTTATATAATCGCCGCGTGTGAGAGCGAGACCGTAGAAGATCAACAAAGACGCACAAACGATTAAACAAAACACGTGAGAAAGATTAAAGAAGAAAACAAATTTAAACGGCTGCGTAGTGGCGAGTGTAAATGTTGTAAACGCAAAAGTGGCTGTAGAATATTGTAAAAGTTACGACACGAAGGAGTGTGTGAGATGTCGAGAGGCGCACGTCGGAAAGGATCGCGTCGTCGTTTTTTCGGACATTTGATTTCCGTTACTTTGGCTGAATCGCACGAGACAGTTGCGATTTTCCATCATTATGTAGTTGCTTTCATAAAAAGAAAAGGAAAAAAAATAACGTAGATATGTGAATATACAGACATATAGTAGTTGAAATATAGCAACTTTTTATATTTATAACGATCGAAATTTTTTAAAGAATTACTTTGACGAGCTGTCACTTGTTGTTGTTGTTGGTTTCTGGCTGTGATATTCGCAATAATTTATCCGCGTATTGTATACGTACACAGTCGGCCATGACGGATTTGTCGGATCACTTTGTGGCACCGATCGCGGATTCCGCGGACTCGTTTGCAAAAGCTCGATCTATTTTCCGACGTAGACACGAGCCTAAAGTACGAATGGGTCTGTTTGAGTGATCTTTGTATCAATGTCGCATGGTGAGAATGAACGGGAGCGAGCGAAAGGCGAATCACGCGAAAGACGAATTGCAGCAGCGACACATCAACATCACGACGATATTGTATATTATTATTATTTATGATTACAATATGTTCGTTGACTATTATGTTAGAAATAAAAACTACATTGAGAAACATAGGATCTCATTCGGCGATTTATCCCCGAATCCCTTATTATTACACCTTCGCAACGACATTGGTATGTAATGACGAATTAAAAGATCCACCGGCATGAGATAATTATTCGACGCAAAAGAAAAAAATTAAAATTATTAAGAAAGAATCGAATATCAATTCGTCTTACACCGCTCGTGCCTGCATGGGGAAAAACAATTTGCTGGCGCAACAAATTTTCTACTGACGCAGCACAAATCTGTCAGTTACTACATTTGAGTTGAGTTGCACTACTCCGCAGAACGGGGATTTCTGATAACCATCACTCTTCTGGTCTGACACATGATGAAAAATTTAAAACTGTTTTGCGACAAATCACAGTTGATAATAAAAGGAATTTATAGAAATCTAGGGTAAGCGGTATTTGATGAAAAATCATGATCTCTCCGCGTGATGTTTACTTGGATGTTCATGGTAATATATATGGCACATCCACAAATTATTTTGCTGTAAGAACAAATCAGTAAATGCAGGAAAAGATTGTTTTGTTCTGCCGTTTTAGCAGATTAACGTGTCCTAAGAACAAATTCGCTCAGCAGGATATTTTTTATCCCGGAGACAAAACTGTTTCTGCTCCGATTACGAACAATTCACTAATTTGTTTGCGCCAATTAAATTTTATTGCTGTCAAATACAATTGCGACAAATATGCAGCAATAACGATGCGGTTCCACTACGACGGCAAAATTATTTTTCCCCGCGCATATAATAAGATTCTAACGAATAAATTATTTATTTTAGAAGTCTCTGATTTTATAACACGCATAAAGGCTCACAGTTATAAATATATTTAAAATACATAAAAATAAACGAACGCGCGAAAGTTACATAAACGAGATTCACCCGCGGGAATCGGTCGTTTCGTTGTCAGCGATTGAGGATTTCGCTAATTGAATCTCACACGGAGGAACACATGCGTTGTGTCGCGAATCGTCATGAAGTGAGAACTGACAATCTGTCGTTCACTTTGATCTGTACCTTATTGTCATTGAGCTTGTAGACTTTTAATTCGCTGTCGCCGTCACCGTCGTAGTCGGCATCGTCGTCGTCGTTAATATAATCAGTCTCTCGCTTATATTCGGAAGGCTTCACAACGTGAACACGCTCATAAGGACGTTTTTTGCGTTTCTCCTTCCTCTGCGGAAGCTGTATTACTATAATGTAGGGCTTGTCGTTGTCCGGAATGTCGACGTCGTAGTCTTCGTAGTGCGGCGCGTACCTACGCCAGTCAATCGTGAGCGAATAAAAATTCAGTTTTTATTAACCGGCAGTCGATTGTCAAATTCGCTCGATAAAACGAGCGATTTTTATCGAATATATGTTGTTGCCGTTTGCCCCGGTTTCTCGTCTCTTTTCATACCTGTGGCGGTCCGATTCGTAAGGACGATACTTGTGCGGCGGTCTCCTCTTCGCGTGAAAGCGTTTCTGCGTTTTCCCGCGCGGATGCCAGCGGGGTGGCCGCCAAGGACGAGGGCTGAAATATTTGTACGGTCTGACGCCTTTGAAGGTCTCGCTGAAATCCACGATCTCCAAGGACAGAACGGTGAGCATGACAATCACGGATACCTGAGAATTACAATGAACGCGTTTACGATTTAGGGGTGTATCGCCCGTGAGTCAAAATAATGAAAAAATTATGAAAAAATCACAGATTGATCTACGCTGCATTTAAAAGCGACACCGAAAGTTTGACGCAGTAATTCGGAGACTGGATCGGAAGTTATCCTATTTAAAGGAGGTCGTAAGGTGAAGTAGGTTTAATAAGAATTCGATGAAACTTGCGTATATATTGAAATGTCATCTAACTTATTACTCGTGCGATTAGAAGAAGATTGACCATTCGAAGGCTGGGGTATTTTTAACTAAAATTTCTTATATTATTCCTTAAGATTAGCTATTTTTAATGTCCTTCTTTAATATCTTCTAAACTAGAAATAAGATTTCAGTGAAAAATTACTATAGTATTAAGAACTAATAGGCAGACATTATACGTAACTTTCAGAATGATTGTTCATTTTGTTTTGAAAATACAACGATATGAGGTTCATGGCTTATGCATTGATGAGAAAAATAAAAAAAATAATATTTTCGTATTCGTAATATTGCGTATATACATATGTTTGCCTCAATTTCATTTTAAATTAACATTTATTATTTAACCAGTGAAATAAATGTCAGGAACGTAATTTCGCTTGGTAAATGCTAACTTCACGAGTGACCCGCCGAAAATACGGGCACTAATAGGCAATGCATTCTTAATTAACGTCGCGCAAACTTGCAGCGCGAGGAAAAACAATCCCTCCTTCGATCAATTAACTTACCTGCATTCTCGCGTGTGCCGTGATGCCGAATAAAACGTCTCTTAATTAATACGAATGCTTCACGCCACTCGGACGTATTCTCTCTCTCGGTCCATTTTAATTAAATTATTAATTAAATAAAAATGCGCTCGCTCCGCACATCGGTGCAGAATCCGGTCATCGCTCGCTGACTCCTCTCGTTCTATCGATCATTTTTTTCCCCCGACGAAAGTGGTAAACAAATAAAATACGCACGTCGATTTCGCGGGTATATTCCGTACAGTCACTATGCAATCGGGAAATCGCCTGTTTGAAAGATGTACAATGTAAAGTCCTCTCGATATCACTGTCGGATTTTTTTTTCGATTCTAGGCCGTCACGTGTGTCCCGAACAAGATGCGAATTCGGTATTTCTCGATTCGCGAAATTCATCAAGATCTCGGACGTGGTGAAACCGTGCGCGCGTCCGAACGAAATCTAAGCTGATCGAAACGAGACTGAACCCTCGAAAGTCCACGATGAGCANTTATATCATCCCCCCCCCCCATTTCTAGCTTTCAAGGCGCCTAGAGCGATATAATGGCTCGTGAATGCTGCATCGTCACGATTAAATTCATTACGATTCGCTTGATTGAAGAGAGACGAGTTCCTATTGAACGTGCACACCGAGACGTGTTTGCTGAAACTGTTTGCCAAACTTTCCCGGAAAATACAGCACGACGTAACGAACAGATGAAACAGGTACGCGAGATTATTGCGGGTAACTGCATTAAACGGCGCGAAGCTCGGTGTGAAAAAGCCAATGGTCGATATCGAATGTCGCTGACGCGATAATATATCAAGAAGTGAGAGATTGCATTCGAGTAACTGGTTCAGGCAAATTCTACGAATGATTTATTTACATCCCGGCGAGGCACAAATATTTTCTCCCTAACATGAATTCGCGAAATATTAAAAAATGCCTCTCAGATATCCGCGTATTTTTACATATTATATGCGTTGCAATCTCACATGCGAACGTTAAAGCAACTTTTTCTTCTGCAGAAAATAATTGTGTTAAATTGTTAAATTTCTACAAATTCGACGCGTAAAAATTATTTCTTCGAGCGGATATTTTAGTAAAATTCGGCCTTCTCTCTCTCTCTCTCTCTCTCTCTATATATATATATATATATATATATATATATATATAATAACTCGTATAATCTGTTTATATAAATAAATACGGCAAATATATCGGCGGGATGTTTTGCTTTTGCAAATGTAATCGGCGATTCTCGATAGGACAGTGCACGATGCAAAGTGGCAATGAAGAGATTTCAGTGTCAGTAAGAAATTGCCGCAGCTGACAGGTCGTAAACTTATGGGAGGGAAAAGTGAACGAGGACACCTGTCGAGATATACTTTCGCGTTACTTTCAACAAAGAATACGCACGTAATGCGTACACGCGTTTACTTTCGAACGTTTCTTCGGGCTGCGCGATTGTCTCGGATGCTGTCGCTGTTTTATTGTCGAAATTAATGTAGAGTGGCGGAACTACTGCTCGGCTCGCATTCAAGATTTTAGCTCGGTCTTTCTCTCTCTCTCTCTCTCTTTCTCTCTCTCTCGAACACTTTTACTTTTTATTTATGGGGGAATGTTGCTATTTTAAGAAACTACTTTTTTTTATGACCGTGAAATTTTTCATTTAAAGTAAGCATTAAATCAGCAGACATTTGAATCAACCGCTTTATTTTTGGCTTTAGTTATTTTGTTTTTATCTTAACTTAAGATTTTTACTTCCCTCTTCGGACTTAGATAGAATTAAAATTAGAAGACATCCTTTTCATAGATTTTTACTCTATTCGACCCGTGGAAGATTTTATATGGCGTAACTGCAACATTACAGATCGTACTGTTACAATTGCATTCACACACAGCTAGATTACACACGTAGACTTGTGCGCTCACACATATATCTTGTGACTGGAGCGACAAAGCATATGTAATAACAACGCATATGTTTCATTATTGCGCATCCATCATTTCTCGCTCGTTCGCGTTGCGTTAACAACAATTACGGTTTCTCCTAGCTTACGACAGACAAGTTGGCTTATCCAAGTTGACAGTTACCTTTATATTCGATCACATAAACGAAGCATGCCGTTTCACGAAGACGCATCAGCACGTATAAAAAGCGACGTAAATAATTGCGCGAGAAACTGAACGAAGCTAACAATACATTTTGATTACGTCTAATTCATCTCTCACCATATACCATACTTTCACTATAAATTCGCGATATAGTAATTTGCACTTTAAAAATTGCAAATAACCGGTTAAAAAGTTTTTCACATATAATTATATATAATTAGATGTATAATTATATATAATTATATATAATTAGATTTAAATATACATAATTAGATATATAATTATATATAAGGCATCATGTATGGGAAATTTGTCTATATATAAAAATACGTAATTATATATGAAATGATGATACAATTATATATATGATCATATATATATATATAATATATATAAATAAATAAATAAATAAATAAATTTTTTTAATATATAATTATACATAATTACACATAATAAGGTGATTCATAAATGCGTGTATATAATAATTTTTTTTATGGACATTTCAATACATAATTATATATGAAGAACTTTCTAACGGGAGACGTGTGAATCCATGTGTGCGTTTAAGGATTACTAGCTCGAGAGAATCGAGTGATCCTCGATAATCCTCGGTATAGAGACAGGACGCACCGAAAGGATCTTAAATCAACTGTATATCAACCGCTCGCGTAAGTGTTAAAAAAACTTTCGGCTTATAAAAGTTCTTGCTTAACCGTAGACGAGAAGTAGACTCTCGCGGGGAACCAATGTAAAAAAGTACGAGGTATAAAAGTGGAAGTGATGACATGGCAATGACAGGAAAGAATCTCAGGAACGGGGAGAAGGCTGAGAAGAGAGAAACTGACGTTGACTCTAACCGACAATTGTATACTCGTAATTCTAATTTTGAAGGCTCGGAGAAAAACAGGGTTTTCTCCCATTCTTCCGCGGATTCTTTCTCTCGTCTTCATTATCGAAAAAGTCAATTGTGGCGAGTTTCAACCGAACACACGTGAATTTTTCCGAACGTATCCTCCCACTTCGGGACAGAAACCGAACGGGAAATCTGCGGGGAATTGCAAGAAAATCGCTTGTCCTCCGAGCCTGCAAAACTAAACTCGTAATCGTCTAATCGTGTGCAATCGCTCTACGGTGATCAACGGTCGCTCGCTACCTGGCACGACGCGCTGCTTTAGACTTCATGCTCGCGAGCACAGTGCTCAAGCTTCCGCCCTGCGCAAGCGGCTCGGTTAAATTTCGAGCAACCTCGGGGCCGAGATCGGGGCTGCGACAGATAATTGCCAGAGTGCACGAGTCCCGTACGAGCGTCCGAGCTAAGTTATAAAGTCCCAAACGACGGAATCCCTTTCAACACTCCCGATCGCGAAGCCGGTCGCAGTCGGGCGCCGCTCGCAACTAACCGGGCCGTCGGGATTAAGGCCGTCGCGATCTGGTCGACGATCAACAGTGTCTGTCGCGATTTTTGTCGATACGAGAGCGCAAGCTACACGTTCGTATCTTGGGGCTCCGCGCAGTCGGTGGGCTTGATCTCCAGCCACCAATCGTTGGGGTAGTGATACTTTTGTAACTCTATACCCTCCCGAGGCACCGGCATCAGCCGGCCGCCGAATTGTTTCGCCGGTAAGGGAGGTATCACCAGTTGCGGCGGGAAGCACTGCAGGCTCGGCGAGAACTCGCAGTCCGGAGGTAGGACCCGCCTGGTCCAACCGACCCTCCTCACCATCTGAGTCTGCAAAGAGCAACACGGCCTGTTAACGCGTTTAAGGGGTTATTACCAGCTTAATTTTTTTTTTGGCCATTTTTTTTTATTGGCTTAATTTATGCTAAAACATCCTTAGAATTGAAATCTACAACGCCCAGGTACTAATTTAAATTTAAAAAATGTTTTAAATCAAATTTTCCGAAGTATTATTAAGTATTGCCACATATCAGCATAAGGATCCGATGCATAAAGATGTGTTTGATGCAATCAAACCAATCTACGAAGATCTCAGCTCCGACGGCCTTCTTTCCCGCTGCTTGGGTGGATGTATCCAAAATAGTAATGAGTCGTTCAACGCAGTCGTTTGGTCAATTGCTCCAAAAACGGTGTCCAGCACTAAAACGATTCTTGGCATTGCGACTGACATAGCTGTCATTACATTTAATGATGGCTTGTCAAGTCTGTTTGCCGTCTACGATACCCTTGGATTTACTGTTGGGCCAAGGATGTATGAATTCTGCTTGGAAACAGACTCCAACCGGATCCAAGCTGCTGAGCACAGTATGTCCGCCTTTGCAAAGAAGGCCAGACGCAGTAATACATCGGCAAAAAAGGATGAAGAAGAACACAATAAGGCTCTTGAAGGACAATTGTACGGTGCAGGGATAGCAGACTGAAGGTAAAAAAATTTTTTTATGGACCATTTTTAAGATTTATCAACTTTAAATGCGTTTTTAAACTTTAAACGCGTTTTTCTCGAAATCATGTTTTCAAAATCGGTCGGAAGTAGAACTCAAAAAGTTTTCATCCGATTGACTTCAAAATTTAACTGTAGCTTCTTCGTTAGATTATCTAGTAAAGTACACACGATTTTAGTGATTGCTTCACTAGAAAAAAAGTTATAACCCCTTAAAGTCGATTTTTTTCGTCGAAAAATGAATTTTTTTGTTTAAACTTCTGCCATTTCGCGAAAAAAAATTTAAAAAATATAATTATGTGTACTTCACTAGATAAACTCATGTAGATTATGAAAAAAATTTTTTTTTGTTCTAGGTTGAACTGGAAGAGACTTCTACTGCCGGCCGCGGAAGGCCTTTTTAAAAAGTGATCTGAAGGTTATTACTGTACAGCCGCCATTTTGTAAATAAACTGCAATAAAAATTTTTTTTTGTATTTCAAAACATGAGTAATCAATAGGATTTTTTTTGTAAACCATTCATTTTAAATACCTTCTCAAAAAAAATCATAAAAAAAGCCTTTAATAACTCCTTAATCGCTGCCGGGCTCTGATCTCTCGACTCGACTTTCGATTTCACGTTAGGCTTGCATGCGCTCCCCGCTGTTATCGAGACTGACAGTTTAGTTATTATGATGTGTGCGTTTTAAGACTGCAGAAATCGTGATTAATGCATTCATTGGTATTTCGGCATCGGTATATGATTATATTGTATAAATATATTTTATAAGTTATATTTAAATGAGACAAAAATATGAAACGGTCTATACACGAAAAGTTTAATATCGCGCGAATACGACCCATGTAGAAGCAAATATATTAACAGAGAAACCTCCGTCAGAATCGTGCGATTTTCGACTTATTTCTAAAGAGAAGAGAATCTGAAGGTCAAAAATTCTTTTCATAGGATTCTCCGGGTCGCAAGGTTCCGGTGACGGCCACGAGAACTCGGCTGGGATCCGGATCTTATGCGCTTCGTAAATTCGAAGGGATCCAAGACGGATTTGGCAAATGTAGTTAATGGCCCGCCAGTTTCCCCGAAGGAGCCGGCACAATCGGATCGTAATGTCTACGCGAAGAGCAATAAAACGAAGTTTACCCCGCCGGTTTATAGACTAACGCGTTGCCAAAGAAGCCATCATTTGTCCTACATACAAAACCGATCGTGAAGCACACAAGAGTCGCAGGCTCCAATTTGCCCGAGTCTTCTGCGAAAGCGTAAAAACGTCTCGGATTTGCATTTGCGTGCCAGATACGTAAAACGTTACGGGAATCTATCGAATAACAATGCCTTGTCACCGCGCAAAAGTAAGAGAAAGAATCCTCGGAATAATGGCTAGTAATTGAAGTGGTGATCGAGCGGGTTTGAAGTTAAAGCGAAATCCTCCACGGGAAACCTCTTGAGTGAAACGATCTCTCGTCGATTCCTGTCATGATTTCGCGTCGATGCATTTCAACGCACAAAGACTCGAGAACGCATCGAAGAGAAATTGTCGTTCACTCGAATTTTAAAATATGTGCGAATCAAGCATTTGCTTGGTCAAATCGAATCGAATCTTTGATATCCTCGAAGTCGAATCAAATAGAATTTCTTTAATTCGAGTGCGAGTCGAATTTATTTATTTATATATTTATTTGAATTTAAACCAAATTTGTCGAGGAATTTGAAAAATTGTACATTACATGTTAATTTAAATATAATAAAGTATCTTCAATAATATTAAACATCTTTTTCTAAATGAGCAAAAATTTATCAATCCGTTTCATGATTCTGCGAATGTTTTCAATCATGATTTTATTTGTATTTCCTTCTGTTTAATATGAGTAATTAAGCTCGATGATGAAAAATAAACCTCTTATGTTCATTCTTTTTTGTATATCAAAGGATACATAAAAGCAGTCCCGTAAATAATAATAAATAATGAATAATAAAATAAATAATAAATAATAATAAAAAAAAATCACTTCTCATAGCTTTGAGAAAAATCCCACCAACTACAAGGAAAATGCTGTGCTGAATGTTAAAAAATTTATACGGCAAAATTAAATTGAACTGAAAATGTGTTTTAATTATCTCATTTCCACAATTCATTTTTCAGAACTACATCAAATTACTTGGCAAGAGAACAACTCTAACATCCTGGTGTGCACAATTTTGTTAACAATAAAAAAAAATGATTTTGAGGAACTGGTTTTTAATTTCAACGCACCGTTCGTTTATCATTTTCCGATATAAGCGAAGCGATCGAAAGACGTGACAAATTCGAAATCGAGCCGCCGACGATTCGAAATTACCGGGCTATTCAAATTTGAACCTTTCCGATTCGAAAACGAACTCGAATCGAATCAACCGTGACCCGGTGCGAATTCGAACGATTCGCACATTTACATTCGCATTTGCAATACAAGTTTAAAATGAAATTTCCCTCAAAACTCGATAGCCGATGTGCCTATGCCAAGTCAGTTAGCCAAGGATTTCTCCGAGGTTATTCTTACCACCGCGTCCTCCTCGAAAACGACCACCTCCACCTTGGGCGCATCTTCGCCGACCTCGTGCTCCTGTATCCTGTAGATACCCGCTGCGTGAAGGTAGGTTGCGCTCAGGCCGACCTCGCGGAAGGCTTTCGTAATTAGGACGTCGTCCCTGAGCGTGTCGACCAAGCACAATTCCACCTTGCGGGCCCACGGCAGCGCACGGCCTATTCGGACTTGACCCCAAAGCCCGCCCAGGCAGAGAAAGTGAACGATGCCCAGTTTAGTAAGAACCAAGTGTGCCCTGGTGAAATCATGGAAAGTGATATATATATATATATATATAAGTGGGACTTTTCTTAACTAACTGGGGATTATCTTAACTAACATAGATCTTCCCCTTTCTAATTTCGCGCGTACGTAGCCTCGACAATGGTCAAATTGAACTCCACGCGTCGAGATTGCGTCATCGTGAAGCTCCCGCGAAATTAATCATAATTAATGACCTCTTTCCTTTTATATATATATATTTCTTTTTCTATCTGTACACATCTCCGTGGCTCGACCCAACGTTTTCGACGGTTTCATTCGCGCTACGATTAAATGTTTCTACGACGCGAGTTTGTCGTGAATAGCGACCTGTAAGCGAGATCATGCAACTTCTCGGTGAACTCCTCGGGCACGCTACACGGTTGCCGTGGAATCTCTTGCCGACTGAGGCTATACCAGAAGAGCACGAGCATTAGGAAGAACGCCGCCAGTGCTCGCATAGGGGTGATGCGAAAGCGTCTCCGTGGACAGAAGAAGCTCATGCTGATGCCCTGCAAGTGGCAAAAAATTCAATTCGATCTTAATTACGAGAGTGCGTTACACGGATTAATCCATAAGTGACTGCGGTGAGTCACGACTTGAAGTTCTAAGCGGCCAATTCATCGAAAGAAATCGACGGTTCGTCGATTTCTCAGGTAGACGTGAATACTTTCTTGTCTTTTCCGATCGACAGATGTTTATACCCTCGTCGTCCCTCTCAGGATCTTTACAAAATTTGAAACGTCATTTGGGACTTTTTTTGGTTCTCGAATCTAACTTTTTTTTAATTAATAGATTGATACCCTCGTTTTTCTTTCACGCTTGGATTCTCGAGTTCCGTCGACCAATTTACGTTCGCCGTATTGGAAATGAGAATTTGAAAATATCCACGAGAAATTGACACACGTTTCCCCGAAGAGCATGAGTGTAATCAACAACACGTCGTCGTTCGGACAACACTCCATCTTTCACCGCAGTCCTGGACACGAGGAAACGGATCGCGAGGAGCTCACAACACTCGGGCTACGTACTTTTAACGTGCGACGTAGTCATGACACACGTGTGACCAGACTCCGTTAAATTTTCCCCTTCGCGAATTTTCTTTCAGCACCGCGACAGAAGCACCTTCATGAAGACTCCGACGTTCCGACCCCTGACCCGTTCAACGTGGCAACGTTGCAAGCTATTGATTTCTCTGTTCTACCGACGGATTCCTCGGGGGTGGCCTCGTCCAGGGGTGAGAAGTTAACGGACTATTTTATTGATCAATCAAGTACTTGCCGTTCTGATCCCTTGCTCCCCGATAGCACTCTTCTTAATTCTAATTCTGTGACTTCGAATTTTAATTTATTTTATTTGGCGATTTCTTCGCGAGAAATTCGCAAAAACATCTCGACCTCACTGTGATTCCCGAAGAATGCGTCCTTCAAGGTATGATCTCTGATATATTCTATCGACTAACAAGTTATACATTGTTTTTAATTTTATCAAAGATCAGTTATAAATTTATATAATCGAGAGAAGCTGGTTGTGCCGATAATCTTAAATAAGGAAGATTTAATAATTATCAGCTCACACTAAAAAAACTTTCAACGATGAATTACAGATTCCTACGTTACTAACGGATCGTCCGTGGAAGATGGCGACCTCTTTGTAAAATGCAGTATTGATACGATATCATTCATTGTTAAGGTAACTTATATTTTTACAATCTCTGGTAGGTATTGACTCTTCATTATAACAGAAAGTTACGGACATTTCATTGTTTGTGCAGTAAAGAGAAATCTCGGACGAAACCTATCTTATCGGTTCGTGGTATGAAGGCACGCTACACTTGATCGATTAGTACCAGCAGTTTGCGAAGATTTTTGAATGCCACAAAGATGGCTAAATGAGGGATTTCTCCACAAGTATGTGTCTAACAGTAAAACAAATTAAGAGAAAGAGAGGCAGTCTCCTTTTAATTTTCCTTTTGTTTTAACTTAAGGTACCGCAAGTTTCTCGCTTTCGTTACGCGACAAAACGTTGGTCTCATCTCTAATTGATATTTTTCGAGGAAAAAGTATGAATAAAAGTTTCACGGGGAAAATTCATTAGGTGAACGCGTGAATGGAAAGCGTTCGGGGCAATTCCCGACGATATTATTACGGCGACAAAAAACGTATCTGCGACGAAATACAAGATGTGTATCCCGCACGAATTCGAACGAGAGATACCCCGAGGTAGAAGGGACGTGTAGATTATGAAAAGGGCGGGAGACAAACGAGCGACGGAAGCGAGACGTGAAATTAACGAGCAAAAATAAACGTTTCCTCGATAATCTCGGCCGCTCGCGGAATTCCCGGCCGGCGTGCGCGCTTCTCCGTTTCTCGCTCTATTTACTTTTTCTCAGAGAGAGCGGCCGAATGAGTTATCGCGGTCGGAGCCCCCCGGGTTATCCTAATGAGCAGAAACGCCAATAAGCCAGAGCGCGCGTTCTCGACCCTCGAGGATGGCACTAAGTTCTTACGTCTTATTTTTAAACGGGGGGTGCGCCTGTTGACGAATTTGCGGGGCGCGCCGTCCGCCGTCGTAAATGGAATACCGAGAGTACTTTTGTCGCCTCCTCTCCTCGATATAACTGAAACAATGGCCGAGCGAAGTGTAAATAAATATAAACGAGTGCAAAAATCTTGGTGAAATTCTAGAAATTATCAATCATTATCGCGGGGTGAGCGATTTCCAATTTAAAGGTGTTACTTCGAGGGACATTCGTTGCATTCATCCGGATAGCACAGGGATGCTCTACGAATGTTCTACGAATGATTCGTTACGAATATTTATGTATTCACGGAATATACTAAAATGCTGTTACATGTTCATGGTATGTTCTTAGTATATTAGCATGCCGCTATTACAAATGCTCTATGAATGTGCATCAAATATAGACAGACGTTTGGGAGGTTCCTAGAACCACACGGAAGAAAGGAATTAGCTGTCCATATAACCAAACTGAAATTTAAATGACAGACTTCATTTTCAGCTCTGGAGGAGCTTATTCTTCCTTTCCGTGTGCTTTTCAGTTCGATCAATGCATTGCACATGCCCAGTAAATGAACTTTACGAATGTTCTAAGCACGTTTTCTTCGTTTTACTGATGACGAACATGCGAACCACTGTTTACAATATTCTACATAGACCCATGGAATCTACATTCGAATATTCTGGAATTAAGAACGCTCGTATTTCGCAAGAATATTCGCGGAATATTTCGCGCTATCCGGGCACTTCCCTCGATTCGCCGCGCATCTGGGGCTTCGCTGAGCTCTCCGTGAAATCCGCCCGTTCCGCCGCGGCGAAATCTTCGGATTGTAACCGGGGTGTCGCGAGCCACCGCGTCGACGAGGCGGGCATTAATTTCCCGCGGCGGGATCGGCAGGGTGCGAGCCATCTCCGGAATAAAAGAGTCCGTTCGAGGCGCGGCACCAGGAAGGGCCGGAGGAGGAGGATGACGACGACGTCGGGGGCGGGGGCGAGGGACGCGGCAAGAAAAATTGCGCTCGATGTCGTGGAAACGGGCGAGAGGCCGTAAAACAAACGGTCGGACGTCGCGCCTCTTTCTCCGCCGTCTAATTCTGTCTTGTCGGCTCCCCGGCTCTTCGTGTATTTTCGTAGCGCGTGTCACCTAACTCTAAGTGGCTTATCTACGCGCTCTCCTCGCTCGGGCCCACATCGGGACACGTGCCTCGCACCTGAACCCCCCCCCC